ACCAAGAACCGAACCCTGAGGGACACCACTTGTGGCGGCAATTTTATCGGAAAACGCTCCATCGACACGAACTTGGACCGAACGGTCACTCAAATAGTCTTTCAGCCAGCTCAACAGATTTCCCGTCACGCCATACATTTCAAGTTTCCGAAGAAGGATACTGTGATCGACTCGATCAAAGGCTTTGGATATATCCAAGTAACAGGCATGTACAGTAACTCCCGCATCGACTGCTCGTGTCCAGTCATCGAGTGTCACGAGGAGATTGGATAAACAAGAACGATTCTGTCGAAATCCGTGTTGTTTATCGCTCAACAAGGAGTGAATTTCAAGGTGCGATTTCAGGGCTTCTGCTATAATTCGTTCCATTACTTTTGATATTACTGGGAGAAGAGTGACAGGTCTGTAGTTAGATGCACACGTTCTGATACCTCCTTTGAATACAGAGAGACGTATGAGTTCGCCGTCTATATGTGATGGCAATGGGTTATTTCGCTTTGAGTTAGTCACCTCCGCAATGGCTGGGGATCTCTGAAAACCGCAGGATGCCCCAAAAGACTAATCAACAGCGTCATTCATCTCTTGTTTGGCAGGAACAATTGGTGGACAGATTAACCGACACTTTAGTGGTCTTCGTTGACGATCCTGCCATAGTGTCACCAACAGTTTCTATGAAGTTTGCCGAATGCAGTGAATCGAAAAATGGGGAACACTGATGAAAGTGCGCATACCGTTACGCATTCAAAAGTTGGTTGTCCTTATCAGCACCAGTGAAGTGAAACTTTTTTATCGCGAATGCTTGCCAATGACTGCAGCATTCACAGACGTGATTCAGTAGAACATTTAGGGTCACTTGTATGAGTCACACCAAGGATGCCCCACTATTGTCTGAATGAACACAAAGACAGTGGTACTTACTAGCGTACGCTTGCGTGATTCACTATTAACTCTCGCCTGGTTGCTAAGGCCTCACTGCATACGTTATGGCAAGTGAAGTCAGGCGTAAATTGTCGATGGTCTTCAGAAGTCATTAGGTTCTCGTCTCGTTCGACAAACCATCTTTTCGTTCTTTCCACCTTATTCATTATAAACCTGACAGTGTAAGAAACTAGGTGAAAATTCTTAGCAAGTTAGTGTCCAGAGGTACATCCATCGCTTCACATTGTTTTATTAGGGGAAATGCATCCGAATTCCGCACAGCCTGTCAGACATCAGCTATTGTTTCCTTTTTTGGATCTTTTCCAGATAAGCCCCGCCAAAAAATCAACCCCGTCACCCAAAAAAGGTTAAAAATCGGGACATGACATTAATAATCTGCATGAAAAAGTCCCTTTTTCGGTACCTTTGCCTCCAAACGAACTCACACAAGCAGCTGTTCACTAAAGCTCGGTGTGCACCGCATTGGCGTTTATTCTGCTTCTTGTGGACGTGCTAAAAAGATTCACTGGTTTGCGTGTGAGCTCCAGTCGTTGGGTCGACAAAGTTTTCGGTATGATTAACCGTTTCATGAGTATAAGTCATGTCAGTCATCGTTTCAATTCCTTGGTATGATGCCCACATATCGGAGATGATGATTGAGCCAGGAGCGATGCAGGCCTGCATTGTGTCCATCAAAGTGGCCACAGTTTGATCTGGCACTGCATACATGAACGTCTTGCCGTCTCCTTGTCATGAACGAGAGTTGAAAATGTCAGAAAGTTCATTTAAGGTTTTACTTTCGAACGAGGAAAATTTTTCACAAAATGAACCTAGAAGCAGATAAGGTATTGTGTTCATCAAAAAAATAGGTCAATGTTGCGTGCGTACATTAAATTGGAACTGGTAAAAAGTGGCGGGGGCTTAACTTTCCGCACATATACTTCTTGCATTAGCGACGGGGCTACAACCGGGAAAAGACCCTTATTTTCCACTGCCACTAGAGCCAACAATTAATTTGCAGACAGCCTTCATGGTTAAACAGTTTGGCACCTAACGCTAGAGTTGGGTTGGTTTTGTCCGGTCAGATTTTTTCAAGGCCTTCGCTGAGTCATCTCCTAAGCGGTTGCTTGCTTCTTCATACATAAGAGCACACTTTCTAGCAGACGATTAGCCTGTTGGTAGTATGAGATTTGGGATTTATGTGGAGATTTCGTCCTGTAAGTGAAGCCAATCTATGCTGAAAAGCCGAGAAGCACTGTACAGCTGTTTCATCCTTAGTGGGAATCGTCAGCAGTGCGCGTCTCAGGGATCGTTTCGCCGCGACATGTTTCGCTGTCTTCCGCTGCTTGCTGCAACTGTGCACACTGCATCGCTCACTGTATCCAATGTAAATCAGAGTCATCCATCCGCCACCATAATGAAATTAATTTGTCTTTTCGATAGCGCCCAAATGTCGTCATTTGTGCTTCAGTAGGCCTGACATTGTTCACTCTGAGACAAGGCTATATCTGTGGAAAGTGACGTCATGCGGTAGATAGTGAGAGGAGTGAGTGTTGTTCGATGACTGAGTTTAGGCTCAAGGTTCGTGATCTTCAGCGTAAAACAGGAATGAGTTATCATCATCATCATCATCATCATCATCATCATCATCATCATCATCATCATCATCATCATCATCATCACCATCATCCGAATCATCATAAAAGACAGCAACATCAGTGTTGGAACTGATGCTTTACTGCCGTACAGAATGAGTTATACTTACTGGTGGATTATTTAGAGAAAACGGAGGTCTTTTGGCGGAACATACCACTCATAATGTTGCTGAAAACTCCTCAGCGTTCCACAACCGGTTTCGTTCTTCTTGAGCTGATCAGACCGACGCAGTTCCCGAATTTCCAGGTGTCGGTTACTTGTTTATGGTGAACCAATATATGCGTGTGAAAGTTAGGTCGCTGTAGATCCTTCTCTGTTTATACATTCAAGTTTTTGTGTCAGGTGCGTTGATGTGGCTATTAATAGCTCACTGTAACTCACCGGTATCGTCGTCTGTTTATTTGTAACCCTCAAAACGTGACACCTAGATACACTGTGTAGATCTACCTGGCAAGTTGGCGGATGAGAATCAGAATAAAACAGTTTTTGCTACGTTTCGTTTTTAAAGTTCATTTCGAAAAACCGTGACGATGTTCGGAACAACATCGAGAGCGATGTGACCTGTCAGGCGCATTCAGCTACACATATTGGACTATCCTATGAGCGATTTACGCGACATCTGAGTTACCCTGTGACTGTTCGAACCGATAATACTGTCCTGTAGTGAAGATGGCACCTTCAATGTGTTACTCTTCACATTCGACCGTTTATGTTGGATGCACGCGAATTTCTGTGATTTGACTCAGTCGAGCTTAGTGTACTGATGTAACAGAGTCGACTATCATCTCTGGTACGTGATGGCTGAAGACTACTGTGGTGTTTCGTAAGCATGTTTTTTTACTCTGTGCAACGATGCAGTCGTCGAAAACTGTACTTGCTGTGTTTTGCAATGCCTCATGCCAAAATTACACAACTTATCAAGAAGTACCCCGGCAGTGAAAGAGTTTTTCCTAGTCTGAGTTAAGCACTGGATGGACGTTACCAAGTTCGACGTCTATCTCACCAGCATCCAGAGCCGTCATCTGGAATACTGCAATGTGTGTAACCTGTTGGTTGTGTTAGAGGCTCGCACTTGAAGTGCCTGAGCTACCCGGTACTGTACTCGCAGGAACGCATGAATGTCGACATTCGTCACTTACTTGCTGACTACAGTAAACTGGGGTCTGGAAAACGAACGGAATGCAGGCGTTAATTACGTAGATTTGGTTGCTGTCTTGGTGCCGTTCGCTGGAGAGATCCAGGGTCAGCTTTGACTCTGTTGCTCGGCTATTGTAAGTTGTTGCTACCACTTTACTAAGTCATCTAATCTTCTCACGACGTTCCAACAATTTTGTAATCAAAATCAGCTCACAGTATATTGTTTATGAGGCAGTCATCCGGCTGGGTCTGAGTCTGACAGATGCATGCTGTCGGTTGTCACGTGACCAAGATAGGAAGCTTTGTGCAGGCTTTGTGCCAAGTAATGTTGTACGATTCGGAATAAAACTACGGCTCCTGCTGGACTGCAACCCACGCCATGTGTTTTGGTGTTGCGTGAACTCCCAGCTCTTCATTGGTTATCCAGACATCATCTTGCTAACACGTCTAGGAAACGTTGTCGGGAGGCTTCCATACCGGACTAAATGTACTCTGGTCACTCCCTAAGGCGTGATCAGTCCAGGTAGCCTAACGAGCGAGAGATGAGGCAGAACGGGCACGCTTTGTCCGTTTTATCAGTTAGTTCATTCCTTATCATGCCCCCAGAGTATGTGCAAAGATTTTCTGTCGCAACTTCCATCTCATCGTCAGCTCGGCGTGGCAGTTGCAGTCACGACAGTAGTGCTGCCTAATGGGAAAACGGATCTATATCCAACGCGTTATGATGATGTTTCAGGGGTTATGGAAAGTTTATTTGTCGAAAAACATGTGTGTGACTTTTAGCTGTTTCCATGAAAGGTTGTTTATAGTCCTGCTGAGCAAATGGATGCCCATTTGTCACCGTAGACGGCATGATAGCCAAGCTACCATAGGCTTTGTGTTTTGACAAGCAAATTTAAGCAGGCTGGGAGTTAGTCGTACGTCAGATCCAGCCAAAACAGATGTGCATTCCGGTTTCCACATAGCGTGGCGATATGATTTCGTAGACCATGTATCACAGTTTGGAGTTTTGTCTAGTTGAATTCCTCAAACCGCACACCAAGGCACAGTTTCTACCGGCCAGGCCGCGTAATACTCATGTCCTTCATTCTGCTGCTTATGGGTTGAACTCATGAACCTCTAACCGCAGATAAACAAGTGCCACATTGGGCGTCACATGGTGATATCAGCCAGGTTGCCTTATTCGATGCATAGACCAGGGCGGATAAGCGGAAACGTGTCTCTCTTCATTGTTACCACTTAAACTCCCTCCCTTGTTCCGCTTGACGCTCACCCCTCTGTAGATCCTAAATATAGGTACGTCTGCCGGACACCTGGGGGAGTAGCATACTACACGCTAACGCTCATGCCTGCTTCTATCCAGGTTCCATTCTCTCGCTTTATTGCAGAACGGTCAACAGGCAAGTTTTGTGAGTACCCTAGACAGTTCATTAACTGACAACAACTCTGTCTGAGAGCTTTGAATGTACGAATCAAGTATGGTGGATGAGTTCTCGCTCAATGTCCTATTGCAACTAGATAACAGGAAGATTCGCATTATCACGCAGTCAGACTGAAGTTTACTCCATCCTGTGTGCATTGCCCGTCAGTTGAGCCAACGAGGACCGGGTGCAACCGCTCTATTTCTTTCACAGACACTACGCTGGATGTCTACACACGTTTTAATGACCAACTACCGACGAAACACAACTTGGGGCATAAGGCAACACCCATAAGTTTGCTGGAAGGTCTTCGACACCAGACTCATGAGTAGTTTGGTACACGTGAGCAACGTAATGTGGTATATCGAATATCGTACCACCTGAAGCATGAGGTGGCCTTGTGCAGCATATTCAGTTTTATAAGAACGTCAGGAACGAGAAATTCAGTTGGATTCAGTTTAGTTTCTCAATGGTACCATGTAGATGTTCAAAAAGGAGTTATGGTTAACCTGAGATGACTTGGGAGTCAGTATTCGAGGCTAGTCAAGCTATTTGAGCTCACGTTGCACCTGCTAGTGAAGGTGGCTACTTGCTCACTTACGCCTTTTGCCTTCTTGAGTCATAGAGTCAAATGTAAAAGGGTATGACGCGAAATCCTATGCTAGTCTGGGTCGGGGCGATCATTCGAAACGCACGATGGACAGGGTCTCAAATGGGTTCCAAATGGAGTGCAATTTGAATCAAAAAAGCCTGGGGGACAAGCAGTGGACTGTCACCGCACACTAGTGGCAAACGCCTCATGTGCACTTTTTAATTTATTTTTTTAACGTTTTAATCAGATAAGGTCAAAACGAGATGTGTATGAAGTCCATACTTACTCGATAAATTGGATAAAACTTTCCACCAATGCAGCTTTACCATATCCTTTAGGCCACACTACAAATGCAGGTTGTTTTCGCTTTTTCCGGAACAAATTAACGTTTCCTTGTCGCACAGGGTACCATTGATATAATTTTACTGGAAAAAATACCCAGTCGTCTGCAACATACAAAGACGTTGTTACTATTCTACTCTATATCTGGTCTCCAACTTACTGGAGTTTCCTATTGAACGCATGTCAGGCTTTCGCTGACAAACTCGCATAAATCGCGAAGATAAGTGACCTTTAAACAGAAAAAAAACAAAGTAACCTTCAAGAACATGTCCTCTGAAAAGTTTGCTAGACTCCTGGGTTCACAATCTTTGTGTTACGACAAGTAGGAGGCTTATCCTTCCTTTACGGAACAGACTATTGATAAGGTTGCTGATATAAGCGAAAATCGCTGTAAAGATGTTTATAGGATGTCCAATGGAGCATCCAACGTCAGCAAACAAGTACTCATCATTCGTGTGGTCTTTTTAAACGGGATAGTCTGGCTCCCCCAAGACTTGTTGATGTTAATAGAGAGTTAGTTGTCTCTCCCAATATTCCTAAATTGAAATAACTGACTATGCGCAATAACTGAGCTAGTGGCTGAGTCCTCACTTTCTTTTTGGACCACTAACTTACATGAGGCAATCAATAACTGAGGAAAGTTCCCGTGATTTCTGCAAACTGTCGCTTTTGGTCGGATCGCAGTCAGTTAGCCATTGGCCCTTTTTTGTGCTGTCATCTACCACCTGAAGAAAACTGTTATTTCTTTTCATAAAGGAAACTACTCACAAGGTTGCTGAAAACTCTTCGACAGCCCACGACCGGTTTCGCCCTTCCAGTTCGGGCTCATCAGGTAGGCGCAGTCCCCGAGTTTCCGTCAACCTCATGTTCTACTTGAACCCAAATTGGACCGTTTTCGAGAAATACACTCATTTGCAAATCAATTTGGTTTCCACGTGAGACTCAACTGAATCTCTCGTTTGTGATATTCTACAACTGAATGTGCTGCTATTTCTTTTGTTTCACGTTCCGAAATGACGCGTTAGAAAAGTGGCTTAGCCGTATACTTTTCACTGCAAGGTGTTTGATCAGAGCTGCGCCGGTTAGCTGCACCCCGGTTGACAGCTGAACAGCATTCGACTGACCAGCGCTGCAGTTTTTCCTGTTTTGTTAGAACGGCCAATAAACTGGGTCACTGTTTAATGGCTAAGCAGATCGCGAAACAGACAGTTGGTGGTGTGGTGGTGGGACGATGTTGCAAATCAGGACATCAGTCGACCGATAGAATGTATCAAGACTTTGGATCAGTCTGTCTAGACGGTATGAAATATGAACCGACTGTGGTGATGTTTTGACTAGCTCGCTAATGCAAAACAAGGAGGACACCCCGAAAAACATGCCAAACAGGCCACGTGAATAAATGGTCAGTCTGTGACCTTGTATCATCGATATTTTACAACCCATAATGCTGCGTGGCTGACACCTATTGAGCACTCTCAAGCTGGTTTTGGTGAGATGAAAACTGGACGCGCTCGCTCGCTCCCTATGCAGATACTAACGACGACGCGAAGGTTGTTTTATTCACAGATGGCACATTTATCTTCAGGAGGCAAAAGAGGGACACTGCAGTTGCCGCCTACCACATCAACCCTACACCAATGTAACTTCATCGAGAAGTTTGAAGAAAAAGTGGCCACAACGAAGATTACCCTTTAACTACTTTGATATATCATCACACCTCTCGTCTAATATCTCACCCGAAAGGATAGATGAGGGAATGACTAAACGATGCCAAATAAACCAGTTTTTTCTATATGATTCAGCTTAACGGTACCGGCAGTAAGCATTACCATCCATTCAGACACTGTTTAGTTTTGCATGGATTGCCGGCATTAATAGGTCGATGTTCTCCACCATACCCTGAAGGTCAAGTTGTTCCAGCCCACTGAATGCCTGGAGCTGTGGTCTCCAAACCACTGTGGATGTGAAGTACCTAATACTCTGTGGACTCCCTTCCATTGCGCTCGCTCTCTTGAATCACCTTGTCTAGGTTTACAAGACCCAATGGAATGCGGAATGTTAGTGCCATGAAGGCAAAAGCAGGGAACGAGGGGGGAACACCCGTTAACAGGCGGACGGGTGCACTCTGAAAGACCAAAACAAAGCAAACGGGGGGGTATGGCAGGCTGACTTAGAAGAATTAGACTGGTCTCAAGCGGTCTCGGTTGAAGAAAGCAAAACAGTAAAACTCTAGACAACTGAATAGTGAAAACAATAGGGCCGACCATTCACTTCGGTCTGCGGAGTTACAAGGTGTTAATGACTAGCTGACCTAAGGTGGATGACCAGCCGTGAAATTCGGTTGATTGGGTAATTGGCTACCTCGATCGTCGTTTGAAGATCCAACAGTTCATCGACAATCGTGGAGTACTGTTGCCCTGCAGGACGCATTTAGACATTAAAAACTAGAGCTATTCTTTCGATTTCACGTGGTGTTTGGGGTATTACATGTATCTATTGCTACAAAAGAACCCTATAGTGCTTGCATATCCTCGGATCAGAACCAATGACAGCAACACAGCAATTGGCTGTCATGACTTGATTCGTCTATCTCACATTGGTGCTGAAACCATGTGCTAGAACTACGTAAATCACAATCCGTCTTCGGATCGATGTTGCCCAGCATGTCGGTTGATCGGTCCTCGGCCCTCGGAGGCGACAACATCACTTTACATGGGGTCTATGTTTGTTTGAAGATTGCGGCTGTTTTTTGCCAACTGATGCTCAGACCATTTTAGGAGCTAATGTTGGTGTTGCAGGTCATACCAAGACTTCAGGACCTCATCAGTCTTTGAAGACTTCCGTCAGACGGTTATCTCTCATCCTTTGCTGGAGGGAACACCGATCAGAGCACGCTACCTTTCAGATACTCACTACTAATAGGAGACACGTCCTGTGGACATAAATTAAGATCGGGCGGATCGCTGTGCTTTGTTCCTATCTGCAATAAAGTCATCCACTTCAAGAAGCCTCCTGGACATTGCTGATGTGCTTCTCAGACTTAGTTCACCTACCTATTGAATCCGTCGACGGAATTTCAGCAACCTAAGGAGTAGTACATTACAAAGCTATATATGTATCCCGATATCTTGAATATCGTAGCGACTAAAACATGAGGCAGCCTGGTACAGCACATTCAGTTGCCTGAGAACATCATAGAAAACGAGAGATTCAGCTGGGTCCCATGTGAGTCTCTCGAAAAACCAAATTAGTTTGAAAATGAGTGTATATTCGCTGAACTATTCTATTTTATACAAAGTCGATTCTATGTTAACTGTTTTTCTATATCAACTGTTTTCATGACTCGATTTATTCACATTCATTTCTGAGTTTGTTGCTGAATATTTTGTCCCACTTTGAACTGCACAATATTTTCCCGTTCAGTTTGTCTGATAGTACACTGCCCTTTCTGTGCCATCCTGTGTTGCTAACTTCCCAAGGTTAAATCTAGCCGTAAGCTTTCCTTCACTTCTGCTCACTATTTACTGTTAATTTCCTATACAAACACGGTCTACCTATCTATACTGTCTGCTCACATCTAATTCAATCCGTTGTTTGCCGCCCATTTGCGACTATTGAACAAACGCAGGTGAAATTCGTAGATTTCGGTTTCGCCGCAGTTATTACTGACCGTCCGTCATTGAATTAGACTAAAAGTTACTCGTCAGATAGGACACCTAGATCGCGCGTTTAGGCCAATTAACCAATTCCTCGCCTTGAGATCACGTCGTTAGTACAGGATCGTACAAATATCATAAACTAGAGTTTAGACAGTATTACAGGCGAACAGTTATTGGGGTTCACTTCATAAGTGGAAAATCGCTTTGGGAAGGCAATTTGGGTGAGGTTTTCTGTAACCCTTTCAACACGAAGCGGCGTCCTTCAGCCAACCATGAAGTATGTGCTCCCGAAAGACTAGTGTATCGTTCTGATCACCTTAGCAAGACAGCAAATGTCTCTGAGTCGAGAACTTGGGTTGAGAGCATTCCGATGATGTATCTCGAAGTGTTGGAATACTTGTAGCTCGGGTGCACTCAACTAGATGGCTTATGATCCGTTCGCCAGGTTTGCAACTGGCTTTGAAAAGTTTCTCATTATNGGGAAAGAGTATCAATTAGCGGTTGGGTGGATGATGAGGCTTATTCACTCTATGCAGTTTGGTTTCGCTGTATTATTCAGACGATGCAATTGGCGTATGCATGTGCATTGTCAGTGTTTGAGAGTAGGGGATGATCCTTCATTTTTCGGGAAGGGACCTCGGGGGTCCATTTCCCTGGTTTGATACGAATCAGTCACACTGTGACACGTAGTCACCTGTTTATGCACTTGAAGACTGATTTCTTCCTCATTAATGGCATTGTGTTTATTTTCAGTGGAAGTGGTTAACTAATTCTGACTTGTGGTATTGCCCAGTCGTGAGAGAGAGTATCCAATTTTACACAAGATCACGCTGTAAGTACACCCTGCCATTATAGGTTGCTTCACTAAACAATCAAGCATTTTCTGATTGTGCTTGAAAACAGTAACCCCCTTTCCCTCAAGAATTCCTTCCTTGGAAGAAGTATCACCTTGGTGAGGTTCCAGTTGCCTTAGTCGACAGTCATGGTCTAGTTCGAACTCCACTGTCGTCTGGTGAGAATCTGGGGGTACGCAGTCAATATTGCTTTCATCTGTGAAGACAAAGTGCAAGCCATGTTGAATAAACTGATCACCGTCATACCATCTTTCAGCATCTTGACCGCCAAATTCTGCTCTTTGGACGGCACCCTACTGGATCCATGCTATCCACGATATAAAGGTTTGAAATCTACTGACAAATAGACTGTCGGCATCCAAGACGAATGGGTCCAAATGATGGATGCTGGACCGCGGAGGAAAGTCAGTGCAATGAGAGTTGCAACGGGAAAAATGTTCTACGAAAGTTCGCATGTGTCAAAAGGTGGTGGTACGGAGTACGTGTACGGTGTTCTTCTCATAGGAAGGACGAAGTTCGCTCTACCACACACAGTTTCCGATACAAGTAGCTGGGAAATCAATACCTAACCATAGCAAACAAAAATGGGCAAAGGATGGATGCTTAAAAACCGATCGCAAGTCTCGGTTATTTTGTGGTTATTCCGCCCCGCAATATAGATAGAATGTGGTTGGATGACTACGAAACCTTTAAGCACTTTTTGTATAGTGGGCGTTTCAAAGTAACGAAGTGTAGAGTAATGGTAAGTAACTCATCCTAGATTAGACTCTATGGTAATGCCGATAAACCCGAAACTATAAGCCACACAGTGGCTCTTGAAGATCGTTTTTGGGCGGCTGCTTGGACGTTGCAAAACGGGAATAGCCACTGCACTCGCAAACAGAATGACGTGTTTTCGCTGAGAAAGGCACATGGTTGATTTTTACACAGGTAGCGATCGTTTTTTATGACCAAGCTAATTGTTCAATACGGGCGAATTCGGAAGACGCTTCCCGCTTACACCCGACTAACTTCAAGTTCGGATTTTCTCCATTCAGACGCACTAACAATTGTAAGTTGATGCGGAAAATTCTGTCATATTCTGCGCTTTCAGACTTGACGGAGATAGCTAAAATCAACCACAACCACTGAAACCTGAGACGTACCGGCGTCCTCAGACGGTTCGTCCGGGGACTAGACTTCTCAAATTGAACTATGTGAAATTGACGAACATACACTCATTTGCAAACTGATTTAATATTTTCGAGAGACTCACCTAGAACCTAGATGGATCTTTCGGTGTTGATGTTTCCAGGCAACTGAATGTGCTGCACCGGACCGCCTCATGTTTCAGTCGCTACGATATTCAGGATATCGCGATACATGTATGGCTTTGTAATGCACTACTCATAAGGTTGCTGAAAACTCCTCGACAGCCCACGATCGGTTTCGCCCTTCTTGAGGCTCATCAGGTAGGCGCAGTCCTCGAGTTTCCGTCAACCCTATGTTCAACTTGAAACCAAATTGAACGAAATTAACGAATATTCACTCATTTGAAAACTAATTTGGTTTTTTCGAGAGACTCACCTGGAACCCAGCTGAGTCTCTCGGTATTTGAAATTGAATTCGGATCAATGAAGACGGTCGTCACACGTGCTCTCTCATCGTAGTACGCAACGCGGGGAATGAGAGGGGACGATCGACTGCTCCATCTCCCCAGCTTTTCAACGAACGCAAGAGGTGGCTGGTCGTGCATTGCCGGTGTGAAGGAGAAAGGAGTGCAGACAAGCACTGGCCTAATCACCCACCCGTTCTCACGATCCATAGGAGGCTTTCTAAGCCTGTGACCCATGACACAAGATGGGACAATGAAACTACTCGCCTCAACGCGCGAACCCTACAACGAAATGAGATGAGACCCGGAGGGCGCTCAGTATTCGCACAATGGAGTTGAACCTCCGAAACTTATGACGTGTCCCTGATGGACTAAAGCGTCCCGGTGTCTCAGCAATGCTGGGAAAGTATCCCGCAAGACTTTTAAACCAGAGGCATGGTTGCTCCAGTGAACAATTAAATTTGGTGAGCTGAAAAGACATGAGGATAGATTACGACGGCTTTGGGGTTGAGGACATACGCAACAAAATGCAACATTTTGGCGTAAATTTTTTTACTTTACTCGTAAAGCTTCTCCAGCTAAGAGCATTGTGCGAATAATGGGCAGAGACCCGGGGTGCATATTTCAAAAAAAGACTTGGTACGAAGTTATGACAACCGAAGTACTTCAGACAAATGAATGTTGCAGCTGCGTCGGTTGGCTAACCTGATTGGAGCGAACAACAAAACCACAAATTTTCAAACCTACTAGAAAATAAACTTTGTTGCTTCAGGTCTATTCGTAAACGAACAAGAATCACCTATCTGGTCACTTCCACTGCCTAGCTAGGCAGGTTACCCTGTACTGACCTACATTTTCTTATCACAACTGGTGAAACAACACAACGCTGACGTTACTGTTGTCAACTTATCAGACCGTTTGTTACATTGAACACTAAGGTTAATCAAGTGAACAGTTATCACTCGTTTTGAAAGCATTATTGTTTTTGCATGTTATATAGATCATGGCGAAATGAGGTCAGTCATGTGAGAGTGAAGCATTTTGCCATGCGAAACAAAGCAATGAATTGAACCGGGTGAACATTTATCACTCCTTGCGTCAGTGTTACCGTTTCACTGGTTCTCGGTCAGACCACAAATCTAAGGTTCATTGAACTTGGACGACGGATCAGATGGCTGGGTGGTACAGGATTATCGCTCAATTGCGTACCACATCTTCCCTGATTGATCCGGTAAGGAAGTTTCTATCCGTCGCGGACAAACTAAAGATTGCATGTCTGAGTAAACCAGGGCAACAGGATCGTCGTAGATGCAACGCTGATGTAAGTGATGTAAGATGATGAAACATACAAATCAGACAAAGATGAAATGAAGATTTTGACGTCAAACGAGAGGTGGCTGGCTCCAGAAAGGACAGATCAACCAACCTTTTCTTTTTATTCTTGAGGAAAGCTTATCAAAAAGTTCAAACTGTTGCTTGTCCACAGTTACATACAGTTCATTAATTAGGAAGTATTCCGCTCATGAACGATTGTGGCTTAGTTGCGCTGGGTAACTCGACGTTGTGGGGCCAACCAGCTGAGACCCTTGACTTTCGATAACTAGGAGATCAACCAGAGCGAGTACGTCTGAGGGATTCGCAATGGGAAAATCAATACCATGAGCCAGAACGCCTGAAACGTCTGAACGGAAATGACTAAGATATCGGACAAACGATCGCCTGTAGAGTACCTGTCAAGCGGTTTGTATGCTATGAGCAGCATAGGCTTGACCCGAGCCGCTTGGTTCAACTTTGTGTAGCAGGGACATCTGGATAAGTTTTGCGTATATGCGGAACGAGCTCATCGAGACCTCAATATTCGGTATTTTGAAAAACATTTGCATATGTATGCAAACTCATACCAGCACACCTAAACATAGTCAGAGTAGTAAAACATGTTTAAAGTTTTGTGTTTCGAATTTTTTTAAGTCGAACTTTGTCCCACTAACGACAGCCGTGGCAGTTAATTCCTGTTATCCTGGTGATCTTGTTGATTATTAGAATGGTGTGCTACAAAGAAGCACTTTTTTTCGAGAATCAGGCAACTACTAGTGTGTTCTAACGTTTTCGAACTTAGAAGAGGGCAAGCTTGTTTCTTCCAGGTGGATTCTATCCAGAGAATTTTAAGGGGTTGCTACTTACTCTGCTAAAGGAAGATATTTCTCGCCTGCGGCGAAATCGCTGGTATTTTCTATTCATTCCCCGACCCCGATCTATTCGCAGAGCTCCCAGGGTTCTTGTCATCATCTGGTAACAATTTATCCAGAAACTGACTCTATTTGAGTAGGGGATGCTTAGCTAGGTCAGAAAAATCCCCGACACCAAGGCCAAGTGTTAATTGTGGTATGTTCAGAATCACTCGGGACGATTTCAGTCCGAAAACAGTCTCCCAACATGGATGAAACCGAAGTCAGACAGCTGGAACATAGAGCTGAGTTGCACGCAAATCAGAATACGGACTATATTAAATCTGCTGTTGGTTTGCACCGCTGGTTCACTTAGGAAGATTATACCTAGCCGAGAGATGGGTGTGGAGTGACTGGTATGACCTTGAACTAAACACAACATGAACAAATAGTACATAAGAGGTAAGGTCAAGTACGAACATGATTCGCATGGAATAGACGCTAGATGTCACAGCGATAAGAGACACACGTACAGAGAGGCGCAAGTACACATGTTCAGAGAGACTCAGTCACTCAGATAAGAGACACACGTACAGAGAGGCGCATGTACATGTGTGCAGAGACTCAGTGACTTGCGCGTAGGGACGCACGACTGCCTGCCACACCGTCGGCAGGAAAGCACTCATCAATAGGAAGATTTCCTTGCAGTAGCCACGGTAAGCCGTTGATTCGGTGGCCGAGTCCATTTGTAGTGTTTGGTTTCAACAACCATTGTATGATCGCCTTCACAGTCCTATAATTTGGGTGGTTCTGCTGGGTAGTTACATGAGATTACGTGAAAATTTATGTTATCTGATCACACCCGTGGCTGTATTCATATAGCGTAGTTGAATCTGATTGACGTGACGTGTTAGCCTGCCATTTCCAAACCCAAGATCATATGTTATATCTGGGACTCAGCTTCGTTTATGGACTTGAAGGCAAGTAACTAGCAGAACCGGGTCAAAACGCTTGTTGCCTGGCCCCATGAGGTTGATTGAACTGAAACTCCATCTTTTTGCTGTTCATTTCTCCTGGTGACCACTTTTTCAGATCAATAGGGGGGCAAATGCATGTCCAAACTGTCATTAGGCTTCTTTTCTCCCTCTGGTTTTTGCAGCGCTCTCCTGAATATATCGACAAATTGTTCTGTCTGTTCGTCTGGATGTGCTTGGTAGCGAACTGTTCACAAAGAGAAGAAAAATGCGACGAATCGAACTGAGGCCCATTGCCACCGACTGCTGTTTCTGGAAAACCGAATCGCGGGAAAAACTCGATAAAAACACCAAACGGCTGTCGTGGTCGAAATTGTGCTCAAAGTTCTTATTTCTGGCCATTCTGGATGGGCATCGGAAACCTCAAGGTGGCTCATTCCATCGATGAGCCTTAAAAAATCACTGTGTGTACCAGACCACGGATTTTGTAGACTTGGCTAAGGGTTCATATTTACCGAGCAGCTTTGAGATCATGGCGCATTGGTAGCATGTGTGAACAAACTGTCCTACTACATCTTTGCTCGTGAATGGCCAATAAATGAAACTGTGAGCAATAGATTTTTATTACACTCACTCCCGTATAGTCACCACACAGGCGTTTCATATCTTTGTCCTGAAACATTTGAGGTGCAGCCACCTGATTACATAAAATCGTGCCCACCTCAATGACAGTGTGTGCAAATCTCCGGCAAAAAGGTCAGTAAACTGCGTAGGCTACCCACCATGGATTGTATTCATAGACCTTTACTTTCTCGTACCCCAACAGCATCTGCAGCAACCAGAAGATGACTCACAAACGTGGGAAACGCGTGTTGGACACCTGAGTCTGTGGAGAGAGAGAGGTTACGGCAACTGTGAAATCCGCTATCAGACCTGGTAACGCGTCCGCCTGCCCAGAGGACAACGGGACGGGTCGTGCGCTGTCGACGAGTTTCCAGCAACCTTTTGGATGATTTCTTTTGTGATCGATCTGGCCGTAATTCAATTCCACGGCTTTTTGGCCGCCAATAGGAATGTGATGCAAGTAATGCCGTTTTTTAAGGCAACAACCGCAAAAATAGGTCGCTTAGAGCCCTACAAAAAATGGTGCCCAACAAAGATGTCCACTTTCTCTCTCTGATCTTGCTCAACATCCTGGTCGATGACATGAGGAAGCAAACGCTGGACGGTCTTCAAAATCCCGGTGTTCAAACAGCTTCTGGTGAGACTCTGGGGTACACGGACAATATTGCTTTCATCTGTGGAGACAAAGACAAGCCATGTTGAATAAACTGATCACCATCACACCATAATTCAGCACGTGAGTTGCACCCTCAAAGCCATGCTTCGGAACTTGCCATTTCCAAACATACCCATTACAATTCAAGGAGAGTCATTGGAGGCTGTGTAGAATTTTACATCCTTCAATTGCGTTAGCTTTGATGAAATTGCCTCTGGTGAAGTCAGCGCGAGAATCAAGTTTGCGGTGATTGTGGCGTAAAAAAAGGGCATACCAATGGATTCGAAGGGTAGTGCGTATCAGGCTGTATTGTTGTATGGTCGCGAAACATGGCCTCTGTGGATAGATGATGTGAGGCGTCTTCAGGTTTCTGATCACCGATGCCTCAGAAACGATGCTGCTGTCAGAAGGCGCCAAAGAATTCGCAACGAGGTAATTGCTACACGAATATTGGGTTATGCTTCAGCTACTTCGATCGTTGAAAGCATCCAGCACCATCAACTTAGCAGCTTCTCCAGAGAAAACTGTTGTTCTCGGCGCCTCGTTCAGAATGGCGCAATCCTTGTGGTGGACAACGTGTAACTTGGCAGAAGTGCTTGAAGGATATTTCGGAGAGTTTGGGTGTTCTTGGTGCGGCGCACCTTCCGGGATGTGATCCTGTGACCACTTCTGAAGACATTAGAAGAAATAGCGGCTGACTGATTCCAGTGGCTTTCGTATTGTCAGGATGAACGCTTGGAGGTGTAGGCACTTCACAGTGCCTGCGGAAGGCCAGAACAAGGTCCTCTCCCCCACCCACTCTTTTCTCTTCGCTTAATCTTAAGTATAATTCAATGACCTTTTTGATTTTGTTGTAGTGAATCAGCGGTGCCAACACTGATGTTCCTGTCTCTGACACCCTTTGTTGAAGTATCTTCGAAGTTTTTGGCACATGGTAAATTCACTTTATGCCAGTCGCGACACACGACGCATGGAACAGCATGACCACTTTGGAGTGCTATCATTAAACTGACTGAGTGCTGCTCGGTGCACTGTTTCACAGCAGATAGAACAGGCGGTTGTTCAAATACCACTCAAACCACGATTGGGAAATAGTGACACCACTGTCTTTGTTTTTGACGCTACAACAGGCAAGTGTCCTTGTACTAGATCAGCCGCACTGACTGTAGAATGGTGTTCTGTAGAGTCTCATTTTACAAGCAACTAGTTTCTCAGCTCTCACTCTTGGTGAAACTGTGTTCTATGCAAATCAAGATTTCATCCTGACAGTGAAGTAAATCTGCGCCGAAAAACCGAGAGTCATGGGCGGTGCGCATCACTCGAATCACCAGGAAGAGCATCGCCATGAACTTCTAAATTCAAGTCAATTAGAGTGTTGTACTGGCTTTTGGATTCGAATGGTACAACCTTCAACTCCTCGCCAGGAGGTCGATGGCTCGAATCTGCCCGGAGATGTGTAATGATTTCCAGCATGGATGAGGCAGTACAGTGCTATGGGCTTTTGGCATAGACTGAAATCGAAAATCGAATTTCTCCATGCCATGGTGAACCCATGCTCAAATAGGCCGTGTGGTTGTGCAATAATGACAGTAACTTCGGCCGCTCTTTGTCTCTTCGGATTGAACTGACAGCTTTCTAGAGGATTGACTGGAACTCGGGGACTTCGCCTACCTGATGAGCCTCAAGAAGGGCGAAACCGGTCGTGGGCTGTCGAGGAGTTCTCAGCAACCTTATGAGTAGTGCATTACAAAATATGAAGGACATTGTAACACCCTCTTGAATCGATTAGTTGGATCATTACGAACCGCTAACCTATTCAGCATTTCCCTGTGCACTTTTACGTAACCAAGGCGACCAGATCAAGCGAACCCCGGTCAAAGTGTTATTGGCCATCGACCAAGAACGTATCATGAATTATACATCTTTCCCATATTCCTAACTAGCCCTGGCTATTTTTATCAAGACTTGCCAGAACTCTTGGTTATCTACACCAGGATTTTGACGCAAACGAGGCGAGAGAACAAGTAGTTTTGATTCTTTCTGATTTACTAACTTAGTCTTCCAGAGTAGAAGAGCCCGTAATGTAATTTTATTGTTTCTGTTATCTATTCCGCTACCACGGAATGATTTGGTTTATGATTTAGAGTGATAGTCGAGTATGGACTCGTAAAACACATGAGTTACAAATAGTGAGACCCCTTTGAGCTAGTCTTTTTGAAGAAGAGTGTAAAGCTACTACTGACGCACGTCAACAGTCGACGTGTGTGCATTCCAAAGTTCACTCTCATTTGCATCCAACTGCGACAAATAATTTAGGTGTTTTTGTGTTGACAATAAAAACTAGGACGATACCTATTCGTCAAATCTATGCGGCATGCTGGTGACAATTTGTTCTAAGCTCTTCGATAGGACTAACTGAAACTAAGTGGAAAAGACGATGTTCGAGGCCCCTGCACCGTATTCCTTGCCCTAACACATGGATAATCCTCAAAGTGGAAGTGTAGTTTGATTTAGTGAAGAAATATTTTGAGTTTTGTTGTCTCTGAACATGATTCTAAACCATCCACCCCACAAAAACACCGAGTGACTACTCCCGATAATCCAGCGGAGCTAGTGTGGTTCAGCGAAAGTCTCCAGCTACCGTAGATTCGCGGTATCCGGACCAGTGTTGTATCCCGGGTGAAGTGGGTTCGTTGTGCGGAAGCCTCATCTACTCGGCGGGTTGGTGTCACACAACTTCTTCAAAGCAATAGCCAACTGATGAAACCATGTGGAATCCTCAGTCTAGATCCTATTTGAAGGCGGCACGGCTATTCAGGTAGCATCCTTCTGCCTGTCGTTTTACTGTGGCTCAGACCCAAATTAAGACTGCGATTTCGGCAATATGGGTGGCGCAGATATGCTGAGGTACATCGTACATGACGTATTGGCGGTACAGTACGCTGACAAGTGACCAGATGACAGTGCAAGTGACGCTGTCACACGCACACATAACTACATCCAAACCGATTTTTGCTGGTTCGCTGAGTCAACAATCGCCGAAGCAATATAGTTGATGATCTGGTTAGTTGTTTGGACTGTCTCAGCATTCTTGGGATAAATAAAACATAGTTTTCAACAAGTACACTCAATTGTATATTAATTGGGTTTTGACAGAAAACTTATCAGGAACCCAACAACGTAATGAGCCCCAAGAAGGGCGAAACCCAGGTGCGTGCTGCCGAAGATTCTTCAGCAACCTTATGAGTGGTGTATTATGTCTACATAAGATTCAGTTTTTCCCAAACACCTAACTGATGTGAATAGAAGCTGTTCTCATCATTGTTACCAGTCGCACGAATTGGCAGGGAATATACACTAAGCGTTTCATTTTAGTCAATTATCTTACGTTCATGCGTTCGCCGGCCGGTTCTGTGCAGCGAGTTGTTGAATATTTTCTAACTGAGATGAGGATGAATTACTCATAGGATGTTGTTCACGGGTTCATAGAAAA